TGTTTTGTGTAAAAATACTATACCCCTCCTGTCCTCCTTTTAATCACTCTCTTTAATACTTCTCTGATTCAGACTTTGTCATTGATACCATTATTTGGCAGTACTTAGTTGAAACTGCAGAACTATTATGGAAGGAAAGGGAGAGTATGACCAGACTCAGCGAAATACATCCAGATGGTGTAAGTGTCTCGGAAATGGCCTTTTATTAATTGCATTTGTTGCTTGTGCTGCAGCTATCACCTAAATATTGTGGATAATTTTTTTCATTAAATTTCCATTATTCACTAGGTATGTAGTTCTATTGCACATATTATTTTAGTTCATTTCTAACAGTTTCATGTTAGGTATGAAGTTCTTTTCACAAAACGGTTTGCTTGTTTGGTAAACTTCTTTCTAATTTTTCTTATGCTTGCAAGATGTGTTCCCTCTTGAGTAATTTTCTACTATGAAGCATGGGATCAGCTAAAGTCAAGCTACACTGCATTCTCATGTTCTTGCAATAATCGATGCATACATACTATACAAGAATTGCGAACAAAAATATTGCTGGGTTGTTGCTCCCGTCCCTACTATTGTGTGCTACACGTTTCTTGGTGATGGTGTGATGTACGAATTTTTCGTCATATGAACCTTGAGCAATCGATGGTTGGAATCTGCGAACCGTCGCATCGCCACTTCCCAAACCCAGCCCTGTTGTGTCGCACTCACCTCCTGGACTCTTCTTCAACCAGTACGAAGCCTTGGGGTCAGAACTTCTCGCTAATCTACCTGAAAAATTGAAGGCTCCACCTACTATATTCCACAACATTCTAATGCTTCTCACAATTTTTATTTGGTTGGGACAGATTCTTTTTTGAGAAAACATCAGCTAACACTCTCATTTGGAATTTCTGCGTGTATAAGTGATGAACTCGAGATGCATGAAGGAATTTCTGATGCAATGCTTCGAATTGTTGTTCCCGTCTCCTGTCCTCTTATTATGCTCACTATCAAATTAGTATTTTTACCACAGGGCTATATGAATTTACCTGCATGTTCAAGAAAGGATTTCAAGATCTATTTATGGATGTAGCGAATCAGAAGGTAACATATTGTCGCAAGTAGTATATTTGTGTTGTATTATATAACTGAAGATTCTGGAGATTAAACTAATGCTGGGGTCAACATTTACTACATTTGATATCTTATTAGATGTGATGCATAATGATTATTTAACATGCAAATGCTTTTCATTATAGAATTGTAGTACCTACATGGCCTGATTCTACCCATCTTAGTCCTCTAGATCTACCGACTGGCGATAAAGTTCATGCTTGAAAGTTCTTAAATTTGTATATGTACTTGCTCTTTCATGCTTGAACAAGTTTTTTGCAGTTTTCTTTAAAGAGGATTGGCGTCTATCTACTGTAGTTAAAACTACTTTGATTTTGTCAAATCGATGCATAGTAGAAGGTATGTGTGGCGTGTGTATTAATCAGTGTATAGTTTTACCTCTCAATCTTCATGGTTTTACGATTAATTTTTATTTTGCAAGGTTTGTGCTTTGATCCAGAGGGAAATGCATGTGTGCGTATTTGTAATTTTGAGATGGTGATGCCAATATTTGTTTCATAGTGGACTGACCTGACTAGCATTTTTAGGCCTCATTTTTCACTGGATGCATTTTTAGGCCTCCTTGAGGGAACAACTGGAAAGAAAGAAATTTTCAGGCTAGGCAGTATGTACCCAGAGCACATTTCAAGTGAAGTCGGTTGGTAGTCAAGCTACCAGTTAATCCCGGGTGTTGTGAGCTTGGATCTTTTCATTTTTCAGTTATATTTGGCATTGCCTTATTGTCCCCGAGGGTCTGTCTTCTGTTATTTGATTGAGCTTACAACCTCCCACCTTGATCTCATTCTTAGGCAGGAGCTACTGCATTTGTTAGAGCCAATTGTTCTCAGATTGGAGCTAAAAGAACCACATATAATTGATCATGCAGAATTTTGTGGCCGCAGGTGATTTAGTTGTCTGTTGGTGTGTTTCTGTTATCAATTTTCGTGTATCATTGCCAGATGATCAATCATGTCTGTTCACATCGGATATCATTCTCTGATATTTGTTACTACAATTGCATGAGGTTGTCACACACCACAAATGAGAAGTTAACGATGCTGCCATAGTCTCGCTAAATCACGTGTCGCGTCGGCTCCTTGCGCACCGCCTCCCAGCCCTCTGACACGCGTGCCCGACACGCCCAAAAAGACGATACATGTGGCACCCGCTCCCCCGCTTCGCTTCCACTGCCCCCACATAACCGCTGACAAGGGCGACCGCTTCAAACTTGAAATATCCCGTACATCGCCGCCGTTGCATTCGCAGGCTGCTGCTGCTGCTGCTGATCGACACGATGGACGGCGAGCCCCGGTGGCACAACAGCTTCCCCGGCAACGTCAGGAAAGAGCTCATTCACAGTCTCGGCAGCTCCACCAAGGAAGCCTCGCCGCAGTCCGACCTGTGGACCGGAGGCCTCGTCTGCGCCTTCGAGTTCGTCCGCGGCCACGGCTTCGCTAGCCCGCCCAATCTCTCACGGAACAACTCCTCGCAGTACTCCAAAGACCATTCAGCAGCCATGGATCCCACGAAGCTACCCATCACAAAGTTGGGAGACGTTTCATCTCAAGGCAAGCTATACAACTTTCTTGGTTTGATTCCATTTCGCGGTAGAAAGCCCGGTTGGCTTGACAGATTGGCAGCCGGTAGGTTCGGAGGACGGCGAGGAGCCGAGGCCGGCGTGCAAGCACGGGAAGGCGTCGCCGGAGAGCTACTGGGTGCCCATCGGGTGGAGGAGGATAGCGGAGCTGGTGGAGATGGTGGAGGGGGACGCGGCGTGGGACGGGCAGGGGATGGGCGGCCTCATGGACGACGGCGACCAGTGCTGCGATATCACCGTGGCCGATGTCGCCGCGCCGTACTGGCAGAGGCCGGCGGGGCCGACCTGGTGGTGCCACGTGACAGCGGGACACCCGGCGGTGGACGCCTGGCTTGCCGGCGCGCGATGGCTGCACCCGGCCATCCGCGTGGCGCTCAGGGACGAGAGCATGCTCATCAGTGAGAAGATGAAGCATCTACTTTATGAGGTGACGGACTGAATTAACTGAATTCTTTGTGTGCCATCTCGATCTCGTGGACAAAATAATTCATGGTGACCCATGCCGCTCAGGTCCCGGTTAGAGTTGCAGGTGGTTTGCTGTTCGAGCTATTGGGCCAGTCCGTGGGCGATCCGGCCGGGGACGAAGATGACATTCCTATTGTGCTCCGTGCATGGCAAGCTCAAAATTTTCTTATAACAGCGCTTCATGTGAAAGGTTCTGCGACCAACATTAACGTCATAGGGGTTACAGAGGTTCAGGTACCATTTCTCAGTGAACAGTTTCAAGTAAGAACCATCTCTAATCTGTTAATTTTCCTCTTCACCTGCATAGTCTTGCTCGCTGCAGGAGCTTCTTTCTGCATGTGGAAGTACAGCTCCTAAAAGTATCCATGAAGTTGTAGCGCATTTGGCTTCCCGCCTTGCTCGATGGGATGACAGGTGGTATTGAATTTTTAAGAAGCACAACTACCCAGTGTTGTAACATCTAGTCATCATCATACTTACCTGACAGATTGTGGCGCAAATACGTGTTTGGTGCAGCCGATGAAATTGAAGTTAAATTTGTAAACAGGCAAGTTATATACTTTAATACCCTTGGTTTCATGAACCTCTTTCCTCTTTGGCTAGAACTATGTGACAGTATGAGCATGTTCAGGAGGAATCAAGAAGACCTAAACCTGCTGTGCATAATATTTAACCAAGACATTAGAAGGTTAGCCACTCAGGTATGTATATTCAGAATGAGTAAGTTCAGTACAGTGGATATAGGGCGTGTTTGGTTACTCACTGCATTTTTGGGCTTCCTGGAAACCTGGCCCGGTAGAGCCTGTATGGGCTAATACGAGGTTTGAGCCGAGTTGTGTAGTTCGTTTGGTTGCTCCCATACTGGTTCGGGCCTGCAAACCGCCGATTTGAGGGCTCCTCCCGGGCCAGGCTGAGGGTTTGCTTTGAGGAGCGGACAGGCATGTTTCTCTTTGTGGACCGGATTTGGCCGCCCAGAGCCTGCATGGCTGTTATGCTAGCAACCAAACACGCACATAATGAATATGTATTTCTCAAAAAAAAAAAGAATATGTTTGAACTGAATGCATTTTGTGAATAGGTTATCAGGGTGAAATGGTCACTGCATGCTAGAGAGGAGATAATATTTGAGCTGCTCCAGTATCTGAGGGGAACCGCCACCAGGTTCTTGCTTGAAGGTATCAGGAAAGACACAAGGCAAATGATAGAAGAGCAAGAGGCTGTCCGTGGCCGGTTGTTCACCATCCAGGATGTGATGCAGAGCACTGTGCGTGCCTGGTTGCAGGTAAATACTTTGGCAGACTCACTCTTGTGGGATCTGATTGAAATTTTTATACTAGTCCCTCTGTTTCTAAATATAAGTCTTTTTAGAGATTTCAATACGTACAGACTACATACGGATGTATTTAGACATATTTTAGAGTAGAGATTCACTCATTTTGCTTCGTATGTAGTCTCTATTGAAATCTCTAAAAAGACTTATATTTAGGAACGGAGGGAGTAATTGATAAGCGACAACATGAACCGTAGTTTGCTAACAAGTAAAAAAATTTGAGGGTATGCTAACAAGTAATATATTTTTCTACGGTATATATATATATATATATTAAAAAGTAAAGTATTTACATAAAGTACAAAAGATAAAGGAGAAAATAAGATCAACCTATGCTAACAAGTAATATGACCGAGACCTGTACCTTTTCTATGATATATGGAAGTATCAGCTATGAACTCGATCGGTTGTTGTGATACTCAGGATAAGAGCCTTCGCATCACGCATAATTTGACCATTTTTGGTGGGTGTGGCCTCATTCTGTCAATCATCACCGGATTGTTTGGGATCAACGTGGACGGCATCCCAGGAGCTAAAAACACTCCATATGCTTTTGCATTGTTCTCCGGGCTTCTGTTCCTGCTTGGGTTCATGCTGATCATCGTCGGAATCATCTATTTCGGCCTGCAGAAACCGGTCAGTGATGAGCAGGTCCAAGTGAGGAAGTTGGAGCTCCAGCAGCTAGTCTCCATGTTCCAGCACGAGGCCGAGACACACGCTAAAGTGAGAGAAGGAGTCCTGAGGAGCGACTTGCCTCCTAGAGCAGCTGATCTCATCTATGATAAAGGTGATGCATGTCTCCTTATATCCCCAGCATCTAAATTTGCAACGTTACTACTAATATATTTTTGTTTTCCATGCATCCATCAGCGCGTAAACTTGGAAGGTATTTTTCGTTTGAAGCAAAGTGTGAGCCAGCGCTTCAGGGTTACCACTTGGTTTCGCTTTGCACCCTGTAGTGGCGAGATGTGAGGTTAGCACATCCATCCACCAGACTTTCAGCTCTCACCATGCAGAGTGACATTGCTGATTTTCCTTGATCCATGCAGGTGAAGAGAGCAGCTGCAAATGCGGTTGGTTCGTTGCAGCGTGTAGACAAGTTCTGAAGAAACTCCCAAGCGTGTTGCAGATCAGTTTTCCTTTTCAAAGGGACGGCACACGGCAGCCTTTAAGACGAAGATCTACCATCGTCGCATCTCTGTAAAGTCTACGTGTGTGTGGTACCACTAGCTACGGATGTAGTGTTTCCTCGAGCAATCACTCTCATGATCAGGTGATATTCACGTGGCCAGAGCCCTCGATGTGATTCTTAGCTTTACTTTGACATGGACAGCAAAACAGGGAGGCCAATGTTTTTTTTTTTTGACAAGGGGGGTATTCCCTCGGCCTCGCGGCCATCTTCTTAAAAGTGCCAATCAAAACAAAGTCTGACATCCAGTACGGTTCTCAGAAAGAGCACAAAGGGAGAAAAAAAAGGCCATAACCGGCGAAAAACATGACAAGAAACTCCTATCCTATTATTGGAATGTCTCCTAGCGATTGTACCCAATAACCAAAAGCTCCCTAGAAAGAGCACAAAGGGAGAAAAAAAGGCCACAACCGGCGAAAAACATGACAAGAAACTTCTATCCTATTATTGAAACGTCTCCTAATGATTGCACCCAATAACCAAAAGCTCCATGTAGTCCTTACTGTCTTCCAACAGTGAGGCCGATGTAGCTGCAACTTTCCAAGTGCCACTTCCTGTCTCGAAATGTTCAAATGTTTCTCTATAGTGGTGGAGTCAGAGCAACTATAGCAATAGTCCCTCAAAACCGGGTGGAGTCAAAGCAACTATAGCAATAGTCCCTCAAAACCGGGTAAGGGAGTGCAAAATTCGTTTTCAAGTGTTAAACCGGACCTAGCCAAACCTTAATCCGGTTTAACTAGTTGAAACTTTTACTCCTAGCTTCTACCGTGGCTTAATCTCAGGATATATCACCCCTTCCCTGCGCTTGCACCGCATCGACGTCCGCGCCGCCAAAATCCACCATAGCACTTGCCCTCCCGCGCCTGGCACTTCCAATCAACCGGTGCCGCCCTCGACTCCCTCGAAATGGTAGGATTTAGCCATCGGGGGTTACCACCGCTGATTCGAAGTGTCGATCCGTATCGAAGTGTCGATCCGTACCGCACATGCAAGCGATCTGAGCATGCGGCGGCGCGTCACCCTCTCGCTCCTACACCGACTTGCTACAGCCGCCGCTGAAGAGGAAGTGCTACGACATGTGGCCGCTGGGGGCATGGGATTCGTAAATAAAGGACAAGACACCGGTCGTCGGTACTGGATTGACTCCTTCTAGTCTGCGAAGCAGGCGGTGAGTCTCTACGACAGTCGGGCGAAGATCAACTTCCCTCGCAGCGGCCGTGATGTCCCCGAGTTCCTCGCCATCGACCCTCGAGTGGTTTCCGTCGCGAGGTGCGGGAGAATCAGGAGGCCTTCGAGCGTCTCGAGGTGGTGTGCGTCGATGAGGAGTACATGGTCGAGCTCCGCCTGAATAATTTGGAGCTCGTTGTCAAGGAGCGTCAACGCCTCGAGCTGTACAATAAGGGGGGTACCGACAAGGCCTGGTCGTATGGTGGGGCAATGAGTGACCTTTGTTCCAGTCGTGTGAAAAAAGTTTGGGGAGTTAAATTTGAGAGTTCGGCTAGTAATCACATCTTTTAATTCCTCGTATATAAAGAGTTAAAGTTTGAGGAGGCATATGAGGGCCTAAATTAAATTTTAAGGGGTCGATTACAGATACTCCCTTCATTCCCTTATACAAGGCCACTATGAAAAAAATACATTTTGCATCTATATAAGGCCACTAACAGTAATCGAGGCAACATTTAGCTTTGACGACGGCGTGAATTGAGACAAGCTCATGATCGAGGAGGATTAGACTTTTTTTTTAATTTTTTTCCTTCAAAATGAGTGGTTTACTAAGTGTAGTTTAAATTTCGTGTTATGCAATGTAGTTTGAATCGAAATGTGTGCCTGAATGGACTAATTTCAATTTTTTTTGAATGGAATTGTGTCGTGTGAAAAAAGTTTGGGGAGTTAAATTTGAGAGTTCAGCTAGTAATCACATCTTTTAATTCCTCGTATATAAAGAGTTAAAGTTTGAGGAGGCATATGAGGGCCTAAATTAAATTTGAAGGGGTCGATTACAGATACTCTCTCCATTTCCTTATACAAGGTCACTATGAAAAAAATACATTTTGCATCTATATATGGCCACTAACAGTAATCGAGGCAACATTTAATGATGTTTTCTCATAGTAGCAACTTGTTTAAACTTGCATGCATGTAGTCATAATGACATTGTGCTACTTCCTTCTCATTTCTCCCTTGCATGCATGCAGACATGTTAATAATCCCGGTTCACGAGAAGAAAAGTTGACTTGCAAATCAATCATTAAATTTTGCCTTGGTACCTGTATTTTGAGCTTGTGGCCTTGTATAAGGGAATGGAGGGAGTACTAAAGGTCAGAGAAGGGTTTACCCTTGTTTGCTCAGCAGAAAAAGAACTCTTCAACTTCAACAACGGCCCTCAATTGTCAATCCCCATTTTCGTATGACCTATGGGACTTGAATGTGAGTGGCTCAACTTTCTTATGACACACGGGACTCACTTGTCAGTGGTCTCTATCTTTTTCTGCTTCTGGTACGGTGAATACAATGATCACCATTGAAAGAGTTAAATGCACAGAACCATCATTTTCGTGTCATAACTCACGGAAAATCACCACTTTACAAAACGTGATATTTTGCTCTGAACCAAAGAATTTATAGCGGACAAAAACACTGAGTCATTTTTTGAGTGCGTTTTGATGTGGTCGATCACGAGCAAGGGGGCAACGGTGACGGTGTGGCGCTAACGGCCGTTAAAGGCTGTTATTTTTTTGCGCTCGGGATGAAGCTGCTGGGTCAGGCCAGCGCGTTCGATGGTTTCTGTTTATTGGGTTGTTGGGTCGGGCTCTGCTCGTTCTCCGAAAAACCAAGCGGTAGTTCGATCGATTGACTGCGCCTGTTCGGTTTCTCCAGAAAACCCAGTCTTCACACATAGAAACACTACATTCATTCACCCTCTTGCATAGATAACCACCATTCCACAGCCTCTCCATCTCTCCTCTCCATCCAACTTCCTCCTTCCACAGAAACCAAAAGAAACCTCCATTGCGCCATGGTATTTGACCTCGGATGGGACCAGGCGCTATAGGAGATCTTCGACGGCGACATCACTAAGCTCTCCTACGTGTGCGAGGTGAGCACCTGGTGCGCCAGTGTTGCAATCCTCAAGAATCATGCGCGTGTGGTGATGGATGCCGCCAACCATGAGGAGCACGCCTAATTGCCAGACCTCCACCACCCACTCATCGAGAACTTGGTCTAGGCAATGGGGGAGGCAAGGAATTCCCCAGATCCATTCCAGCGGGTACGCTGGTACATGTACCAGAACCGCGACCAACTCCGCGTGGACTACGAGCTCGATAGGGTGGTGCAAGTGCTACCCATCGCTCTGATGGAGATGGAGCAGCAGGTGCAGGTGGAGGCGTCATAGGTGGAGCAACAGATGGAGGTGGAGACTGGCACAAGCAGCAGTAGGAAGAAGAAGAAGCAGCTTCTCATCATGGGGCCAGTTTGTCGATCACTCCATCTTCTAAAGCTGCAGCAAGAGTGAGTCTGATGTAGTACTGAAGTCTTAGTTGATTTTTGCAACAAGATCTGAACCAATATATGGGTTCAGTTAGTTTCTGAACATAGTAGTGTGCTTGCGTCCGAAGAACTAGAACCATGTGTGCTTTCTATCTGAACTCATCTATCTATGATATCTATCTACCTGAATGTTTGTGCTCATAGTATCTAAATGTTTGTGCTCATATTATCTCAATCTTTGTGCTCACACTATATGAGTGACATTGCTCATATTATCTGAATATTGGTGCTCATATTATCCATTATAAATGTCAAATTTTGGTGCTCTAGGTTTGAATGGAAAGAGCTATAGGTGTGCTCTAGGTGTCAATGCAAAGAACTATAGGTGTGCTCTAGGTGTCAATGCAAAGATAAAAATGTCATAGTCTCAAACTTTTTTCAGTCAGCTTACTATGGAACTATAGGTGTGCTCTGGGTGTCAATGCAAAGACAAAATGTTATGAAACAGAAAAGTCTTCTATTTATTAATATAGTTTGATTGAATAAAGTCTGAACATTGCAAGTCTGGATATTGCAAGTTCTCTCCTAGTTAGGTACACTTACTGCCTTTAATCAACATAGTTTTAACATTAAATTGAGAAAACCTACTGAAACTTCACATCAATCAAATCACTTAAACCCATGTACACTGTGATGCGGAGCATCCTACGGTCATCCCCATGTACCTACCTTCGTCTCCCCAAGTGCCAAGGGGACCGATGACACGAGCACGTGCAAGAGCTATCGAGACCGAGGTAACATCTCTCCTTAACGAGCTTCCGTATGAACCACGTGATACATGGCTACTACCTCAATCGGAAATGCTATCTGTACTTAGGTATGGAGAAGACTGCTTAGGTATGAAGAAGACCACCTGAGAAACGATCGGAATTAAGACCAAGTCCCTAAGTACATGGACCAACAAGCACAACGAAGGAGACCATTGAAATGCTACAGTGACCGGACATCCGGCCCCTGCCCGAGATATCCGTCGCCCAAGTCCAGCAGCAAGGCTACGCTGGAAGACATCCAGGAGCGGGACATCCGGCCCCATCCCGTCCAGCCCGGATATACGGATCCTTCCCGGAAATCCAGCCGGAGGACACCGAAGAGAGACAGAAGTTGGGCAGATCCAGGCCGAACATCCGGCCCCTATCACGGATATCCGGCGCGTCGTGAACCACTGGACATCCGGCACCTATGCGTGCACAGTCGGGTCTGAGGCCCATGTACCTCCTCCTCCTCTCTCTTTTCACCCAAGACTATATATAGGGACTCTCCTCATCCTAGCTAGGGTTAGCAAAGGTTTAGCTTATTTGAGATTGAGTTTTGCTCATCCACTTGCCTCTCCCATGAAGATCAAGGCCTCCATGTAAGAAGATCCTCAAGTGGATTCAAGACCCCTTCTAGGGAAGATCCTCTTGGATACCAATACCTCAACTCCTTCAAGGATTGGGATGAACTAGTTCCTCTTTTACCTTCTTGTGTTTGATTTGGACCCTTGTATCCCTATATGTGTATGTGGATTTAGCATACGTGTGACTGGATCTTTGTCTAATGAGTGTTTGTCGGATTCAGGGCTCCGCAGACCCAAGAAAGGTTCAAACTCTGGGGTGTGTGCAAATAACTCAACCTATCCAGCCTACCAGCTCGTCGCCCCACGACCTAGCTCGATTCACATGAGCAAGGAAGAAGATGAACACGACAGTTTACCCAGGTTCGGGCCACTTGTGGTGTAAGAACCTACTCCTGCTTTGTGGTGGATTGGCCTCACGAGGGGCTGAGGATGAACAAGTACAAGGGATGAACAACCTCACGAGGTTCAGGGGTGAGGAATCAGTCGACCCCTTCTACGGTGGTGGCTAACCTATATTTATAGAGGCCTCGGTCCTCTTCCCCCAAAACTTAGGTGGGAAGGGATCCCAAAGTGGCCAATTTGAAAGGGGCAAGTAGTACATCTTATCCTGACGAAAGGTGATCTTTGCTTGCAAAGCTTTTGGTCATGACGCGGCAGTGGGCTCAGCAATGACATCCGTCCTGCCGTGCCGGCGGTCCTGGTCTCGTTGCACTGGAATGGAAACCTTTGCCAGATTCCTTGGGAACCCACGCCTGTCCTTGC